TGTTAATATCAATTGATCCTTGGTCTCGGGCTGAACATGGTAAATGTGTTTTAATCGCTGTAGCTTGCCTCTGGCAAAAGATATCGCCAAAAGACGACCAGTGGCTTTTCATGACGTTGACCTTACTCTAAGCGGAAAAAATAATCGTAATGCGTGCCGAAATCCTGCAGAGCATGTACAGAATAGCTCCCCTCGAGTTGATCAAATAATGCCTATAAGACCTGACAAAAGTTCAAGCAATAAATATACCTCGATAGGTCATCCTAAGGCCCAGCAGCTAGTGTTGATACCATAGAGCCTAAGGCCAATGGTGGTTATTGAATTCAGGGGCACGATCGCCGTTAACCCGCGCGGGGCTGGGGGGGTAAATTTTACCCCCCCCCCCCTCGCGAATTTTTGCAATATCTCAAAAACGACGGCGCGTAGCGCCGCCAAACTTTCAGCACCTTTTCTTACATCAATTTGACACGTTTCCTGAAAATTTGAGCGAAATCGGTCGGAAATTTTTTGAGAAATTAACGTTTTAGTGACGTCATGTTCGCCATTTTCGCCTCAAAAACGGCAAAATTTCAAACGCCGCTAACATCTTCATTTTTAAAGGAATCAAGACGTAACAAAAAAGGTTATACGTAATTCTACTTTGTCTATCAAATGGCTATCTCGGTTTTTTGAAAATTTTTGATTTTTGCCCAAATTTTTCCAAAAAACTGACTTTTTTGGGAAAATAACTATAAAATCCAAAATTTTGAGTGTATCGTAAAAACCGAAACATATGTCAGAGAAGTGGTCTATGTGCACCTACATACCAATTTTTAGAAGAATCGGTTCAAAAATGTGGGAGTTATTAAACATTTTATGACGTTACGACACACAAAAAATTTGAAAAATGATTTTTTTGGAAGTTCTAGACCTCGTACGGAAACAAAAATAGCACCATTCGATTTGCCGTGAAAAACTGCATCAGATAGACACCTTTTTAGGCCTTAACAACCAACTTCAAAATTTGACCTCACTTGACCTGACCTTGACCTGACCTCGACCTGAAATTCATCCAGAGGTGGTCCACATCACTTATTGAGTGTGCCTATTGAATTCTATGATAAAAATGACCCATAAAACATGTGTCGCACATGCCCTTTTCTATATTTTGTTTTTGGTGACCTGACCTGACCTGACCTGACCTTGACCTTGACCTTTGAATGATATTGTATGCAATGAATATTGTCTTGGTAGCCTAAGAACACGTTTTGGGCAATCAGTCTCAGTCCATGACTCCATTCTTCGGCAACTACGGTGCAAGGCCGATACTGTAGAAACTTACAATTTGTACCCTTGACCTGACCTTGACCTTGACCTCAAAATTTAAATTAAGTACATGTTTTTAGTTGTTCGTGATGAGATCTTTCGATTGGCGTTTGAATTTTCCAAATCGGACCATTAGTTCGGGAGATAACAGGGGGGGGGGTAAAATTTACACACACACACCCCCCCCCCCTCCCAGCCCCGCGCGTTCGGCCGGAGACCCCAGCCCCGCGCGGGTTAATCGTACCAGCTTTGTGAGCAGGTAAAATTACATGGATTATTTGGGTGTCAGTATTTTCGCTGAGGCTCGAAAAAAAAATTACAGCTTTGCTCCTGGAAGTCTATAGTAAGTCGGAACTTAGCCCGCGCACCGACGGGGGGCGGCGGTTATTCGCCCCCCTGAAGTTTTTCGCGAGTAGCGGGAAAACTGCGGCGCGTAGCGCCGCGAAATTTGGTATGACTATTCTCTCATCAATTTTACACATAATGTGCAAGATTGAAGCTCCTTAATGTTAAGGTCAGGACACCAGGTCACTTTGAATGACCCAACCTCAACTCAAGTCACTTTTTTGCAACTTTGCCACCGTGTCAGAGCTACAGTATATAGATGACGGAGCCCTTTGAAAGTCGGAGGATGTCATTAGGTCATTGCTATAGTTTTTTTTTTTCAAAAGGTGTTTGGCTCCAAGTGCATTATCGAAGCTCTCACGTGGCACGTGCCACGTGAGAGCTTCGTGGCACGTGCCACGAAGCTCTCACGTGAGTTTTGGCAACTTCAGCGTCTGGCTAAGAATTTCTTACCGTAAAAATGATCGATTTCAAATTGTGCTCGGTAAATACATAGAAATTTTGCCTTCAAAAATGAGCATACTATGCTGACGTCACTGGTGGCAGCTGGCACCCAATGTCCGTACAAAAGCATTAATTGCCAACGAATTTTGGGAAAACTTCGTTTTTCACTGTTACCGAGGCCCGAATCGAGTAAGCGGTTCTTTCCATGATAGCTACACATTACATTGCAATGCAAGTTCCACAGCATGACGTCACCACTGTTTTCATGTCTAGTTCCAAAACGCACGTATGGAATCTCGGTGCGACCGACTTTAGCGAGTGTCATTTGAGCGAGCGTCAGTTGAGCGAATCATTTCCAGCGAATGGCAATTCAGCGATGATCAAGCTAAGCGATTATCAAATATAGCGATTATCAATTTAGCGAAAGCTATGTTTCAGCGACATCTACTTCGCCGACTACAATTTGAGCGACTGTCAGTTCAGCGAAACACTTCATCATCCTGTAACGGTGTATTGTTTTACTTTTGCGAGCGTATACCTACGTAGGGGAAAGTGGGTGTATTGCGCCCTCCTAACCAATTGCGCCCGCCCACATTCCCACGAATTCAATGGCATGTTTAGCATTTTGTTTTCGAAAACATTATTTTCACCACTGGATAGTTCGATAGTTCCTTTTATGGCCCAAGCTCTCCGATGAAGCCAATCAGCAAGGCTCATTACGCCATCAAAGATATTGCGGCGTTTTCTTAACTTTTTTGCAGCATTTTGAACCGTTGGCTGTAAAAATAGGCGATACATGTGTGATTTTGAGAGTGATAATTGGAAAGAAAAATCCTTTTTTCATTATGTTTCACTGAAACAGTAAACATCCTTCAGCATCTTTATGGTAACTTCTACGCTTTTATTAAAAAGTACATTAATTTTAATTGCGCCCATGGCAATTGCGCCAGGGGGGCGCAAATAGAATAATGGTGTAGCTATTGTATCACGACAGTATGAATGCACCATTAACTGATTGCAATAAAGAAGGAGTTTTATGTCAGGCAGGGGAGCAACCCGCCATCGTCAGTCCAAAAATTATTTCTCTCATCGAGCTTATAATGTAGCTGCCATTTAGGCTATGAACTTGCGGTGTAATTGACAAAATACGGCATTTTTAACATGGACACAGGCGTGAGAGGTGACAGTTATGATACAAAGTAAAAACTGATGTCAAAAAAGTTGTAGAAGCAATAAAAATATTAATTTTTAGAGAAACGATTGAAAATATAACCGTCTAGGCGCATACGTTCATATATATCTAGTCGGTTACATCAAACGTTTTCGTTCCACTTCACAAGCATACCGGACACTATAATAGTAAAGTTATTTACCTGCGCAAAAAAAACATCGCAATTTATATCTACATTTATTATGCATCGAGCTTGATTCACATAATACATGTTCAAGTAAGCCACAATGACATAGAATGCCGGAGTGTATGCATTCCGTCTCCTTTGCTTAGCCATATTAGGATAGGGCGCAATTGGATTCTAATTGCGCCATCCCCCTGGCGCAATTTACAGCAGTTGTTGGTAAATGCGCCCTTTTGCATGTTTCTGAAAAAGCAGCTGTCAGAAGCAAACGAAACATTCTTAATTGATCGGGAGGCTCTTAAATCGTAGCCAATGAGTTCCTCTTTAAAATGGTTACCAGTGCATGCTTACATCTCCAGTGGTTTTCTTACGATTAGCGTTTTTCCGGTGGCGCAATTCGCCCTCCTTCCCCTACCAACCCTACTAATGTTTCTGGAATTTCTCATGTTTATCCGGAACGCGGGGATGTCACGTTCAAAGGTCAGACATTGAGCTCCAAATTTAATGCTACATTTCTCAGAAATTCCAACGGTTCAGTTTCACTACCCTGCTCTTTGCCAATAATTGTGACCAAACGTTTGTTCAGAGATTCATATTGCTCGTGCTCACTGAGAGCTTTTTTGATTCCTTTTAAGCATATTAGGGGAGTTGGTCTAAACCAACACCCTGATCATTTCTCCGAATATACCCCAAATACACTTTCTTTGAATGTCGCTCTGAAATTCTTCTAATATACCCTACACTGAAACCTTTTTGATTCCTTTTAAGCATATTAGGGGTTTTGGTCTAAAACAACACTCTGATCATTTCTTCGAATATACCCAAACTATACCCTTGTTCTTTAAATAGCTCCCTTGAATTCTTCTAATATACCCTAGTAAGTACCGAAGAGGAAAGGAATATGATTCCTGTTCTATTCCCTGCCATACCCACAGTACGTACACTCCTTTTAACCAACCAAAATACCCTTACATCGAAACCTCTAGTATTCCTTCTAAGCGTATAAGGGGAATATTTTGCAAACTATACTCGCATTATAGTACCACTTAACACTCCCGTATTATTCTGTGATTTCCATCACTGATCTCAATGTAACCTTGCATTAGACCCCACATAAACCCAGAAGGGAAAATAATAATGCCCTAGGTATATTCGTCCTAGAACTTGCTCAGAAACTGTCTCATTACTCTCAGCTCCCTCGTCCAATTTCCCTTTATACATCGTAACACATCCAAAACTCAAAGACATTTGGTCTTTTATTATTATTCATGTTTTACATTGGTGACAACAGCATGGACATAGCTTCACCGTTTCTCTTCCGATAAGACGCAACTTGGGATAAGTAAATCTGAGATTATCATGAATGGATATCTACTATACTATTTGTAGAATGAAACTCTGTGTGTCTGTGTTTCTGTCTGTTTGCACCGTGCAGAGGGGTGCTTTGACGTCGTGCCCAGGTCAAACGGTGCGGTCGGCATGTTTTTTAATCCCACCCAGAAATGACAAACAAGCCCCCTGATTGGCCAGTTGCCGGCCAGTTGGACTTGAGCGGTCGCCATGGTGGTATCGGGGACTCGGCCGGCCTCGTTAGGTGTTGAATTATGTGTTTCGTTGTGCTAGATCTTGCCAATTTGCTTTGATATTTGATAAATAACGCTGCCTTTTTCTTTGGTGACCCTGCATACTAATACGACGATATTTTGGTGCCTATTGTTATGCATTAAACATCTTGAGACAAATGTGGCGATTTCCACGCCCTTTTGCAGTGCCCCCTCCCCTTTTGTAGTGAGTTAACAAGCTTGTAAGAACCAAGTGAACCATTTTTAGTCAAGTGGTCATGATCGTCCCTGCATCTAATGGATACTCAATAGTCTTGCGCAAACTTTTTAGGTAATGGAGGAAGCAGAATAATTACAATTTTGGAGTACGCAAACTTGATGTAAAAAAATCTCAGGTATTTTGGCTATATAAAGTGAGAAAAAAAGTTCAATTTACCATTTTTATTACAATTGCAATAATGATAATATCATGATAATTGTACTGTCAGGTATTGATAATAGTCATGTCACGTCGTGCTACTAACCACACAGACGCAACACATTTTCATCTTTATGTATCTAGGCATAAGGTATTACAGGCATGTTTTTTGCACACCTGTCATGTGCGAGTGGGCATGGCCTCCTTCCCAGTTAAATTTTGGCTGGTTGTGCTCAAATTTTGTAAATACCTTAACCTACATGTAAAGGGATACAGACACAGTTAGTCAGGCACTCTTCTTAGTTCTTAATTCAGTTTTGTGCACCACTTCCTGCTTTCACCATGCTGTGCCCACTCTGCTTTACAGTGGACAGCTGCTTCTGTGACACGCATCAAACTTGCGTTCATTGAAACACTTAGTTTTGAGTGTTTTGACTCAGTTTTGTTGTAACATTACCTTTGTTTATGTTCTCAGTAACTTGTTTTGAGCTTCTCATATTTATATTTTTTCTTGGCTTAGCAGGTTTAGTGTAAAACAAGTTTAAGCTGAAATATTTACATGTTAAGATTACATGAGTGCATACATTTTATAAAAGCTATTTCAAAGTACTGTAGCCATGTGTAGCATGCATATGTCTTAGTCAATGACTACTCAGCATGCTGCTTGGTGTTCAATGGTAACAGTTTGATTTGTTTTTGACATCAAATAAGATTTGATTTGTGTTTCTGAGATTCCAATGTTATTTGTGGCAAATATTTTCCAAAAATCCTCCATCTTAAGCTTCAACTGAATTATAAAATGCCTGAATTTTCTACCAGAAACATTATCATTGATTCCTCCTACAATATTTCATTTTGTCACTAGGTACCTGGACTGGTGAAAAGTGAAAACTGAAATTCATTCATGTCATCATTATATTAAGACCTACCCCTAAATGGAATTGATCTTGTTTCACAAATGAGTTGTACAATGTCTATCAGCTGATGTCTATTGTCTATCTCTTTTTCAGCACAGAAGATCCTCAGTCATAGTTAACAAAATGGTAAAATTAGCTGTGTTTTAAGATTCCAGTCGTGGCCATCAGCTGCTCAGGAAAGCAGCCCAGAATCACTTCACTACAGGTATGTTGATGCATGTACATTGACATCAATGTCAATGCTGAAGAATTGTTGAACAGGGAATACATTTACCTAGCCTTTAAGAACCACAAATCCTACATTACTTGCATCAACATTTTTCTATAGACCTTATATTATCTACTTTCATCTGGCTAAGGCTTTTTTACATTATATTCCCTCTGTTAAACATGAAAATATGATGTGTTATAGTGTAACAAGCTGGTACTTATATCTGCCTTGTCAGCTTGGCCAACATCTGCATCATGTCTATCACAAAATATGACTTCTTTCCTGACATTTGCATTTGTTCCACTCACCAGTTGACCACTTCTACCATCTGCTCGTTCTATGCACAGACATTGTCATAGGGCCTGTTCCAGTCGCACTTCCTAACACCTCTTAACTCCTCCAAGATTGCTTCCCTGTTCCAATGGCAGCTTTCGCCCATAAAACGCCAAGGAGGGCCCTGCTCCAACCTCCTCTATCTTGCTCTTGGTGGAGTTTAGATGTGTTAGGAAGTGCGACTGGAACAGACCCATAGCAAAACAGTTTCATCTCACTGTACTGTCTTTTTTCAGGTTTTCAAAGGATCATCATTCATCAGTACAGAAGGGTGGGGAAGAGAAGGCTGTTCAAATTCTGAAAAGCCAGAGCTGCAAAGGAGGTCAAGATGCAGTGCAGTTGGCCCACTCAGTAGAGTTTCACTAGTGGTTCTGATGTGGACTGGGGATTACACGCTGGATTGAAGTGGTGGTCTGGAGCAGCTGTAATTCATCATTCGTGCTGATCGTGGACGAGTAAGAGCCCGCGTTGGCCCCGATCGGCGATCGCTGGCCAAAGCCCACCACCAGGTTGGTGATAGGCGTTGGCTGTGATATCTTGGTGTCGCCTATGTGTGAAAAGGACAAGTTGATAACAAAACCTGTTGCGCCATGTTATTAACCCGCGCCCGGGTGGCCCTCAGCCAACTTGGTGGGGCGGGGGGGGGGGGGAGGGGAGGCGTATTCGGCCACACCAGGTTATCTTGGAATGTAACAAAGTTGGAAAGACGCAGTAAAATCAATATATAGCTCGCTATTTTCCTTCAGAATCATACAGGTCATTTTCGATCAGGTCATTGCTGAGGTCACTGGAGGTCACCAAAAGTAAAATGATGACGAATTTTGGCTTTAGATTTTGACAACTTCACAAATTGGTTCATAACTCGGGAACCAAAGAAGCTACAGCGCCGCGGAAAAGCGAATTCGATAGCTCTTTCGAAAATCTTTCAGGTTCTCAGATTTGAGCTAAGGTCAACTAGGGTTAAGCCTCCAAATGGCAAAAACTGAACAATCGGCGTGCTTCGGAAATCGTCTTATCTTTTAAAACTTTTGATACCAACCTTTTATTGTGACGTTGATTTTACCGGCACTGCGTTTCTCTCGTCTTGTTGACCTAACAAGGTCAACTTAATAAATTTGACCTCAGGTCAAAGTCGCAGAAAATGCCATGTTGCATGTCAGTCGATTCGTTACATTGAGATTGTGATTAACATCAGTAGCGGCGGAACACCTTCAATTAGACTTTTGGTCCCAGACATTGCCGACTTTTGGTCCCATTCTTCCCATGCAACGCCCATAGGGCTAATCTTAAAATGTCAAAATCAAAGGGGGCACGGTGCCCCGGTGCCCTCCCCGTTCCGCCGCCTATGATTATGATGTTTTTAGCGCTCTGGCCACGTTCCATCTAAAATCAATGTACAAAAATAAACTGTTGGGGACGTTACATGACCTGAGATGACCTCAGGAGCATAAGATAGATCCCGACGTTTGAGTGTTTTTGTTTCAAAAGCAGAGCATTTCGAGTTCCTCATACTGACTGAAACTGGAGACGTCGCAAAGTTGACCTGACCCTCGGTCACCGATATCAAAATTAAAGATACTCAAGATGTTGGTAGTTGGTACTGATTCTCTCATGCAATAGCTCGAGTTTCAAACTTCTACGTCATGGTGACCTGACCTGACCTTAGGTGACATGGGGTTACATTTTTTTTTCACAAATGATGCGAATCGATGCATTATACATAAGCTATACTAAGTTTCGTGTCGTTTTATTTATGCAAGCACAAAATTGTCGGGTGTGGCCAAAAACGCCCCCACCCACCTGGGGGAACGTTAAAGCAGTGATGTATTATTCGGTGTAATCCACGATGCATCGATCGGTGACGGTGTACTTGATAATGCATTATTTATTGCTGCGTGTCAACGATTTTGCTCTGTTCAGTGTGATCTGTGATAGGAAAACTACCGATACATCTCCACGCGCTTGACTGAAAAAGCTGGCATGATCCACAATTTTGCGTGTCTGTTTTTGTTTGGCATTTCATAAATACTGTCAGCTGTGATCGTTTGATGAGACACTGGGACAGCCGGCCTGTATGATCAGCGAACGGTAGGCGGCGGGGCGGTGGTCTGGTGGCTGCTGCATGGGACTGACACCAGCAGATTCAGAGCTGCGATACGCGGACGTTATGTTTACAATACCTTTGCAAAATAATATCTAATAGATATCATGTCCTCGAAAATGTTCTTCAATCAATATGATGTTAGGCCTGCTGGCTTATTCCATGGGGGGCAAAACCGATCGTTTTATGCATGCCTTTTCTGGGCCTCGTTCTCCTCCAAATGCGTGTAGGTAGCAATTTTATTCAAGGGACGATTGAAAGTGCCTCCGATTGGTTTTCAGCGTAGGTGGGATGAATCTTGGGTGGGATATGGCCGTTGAATGTGAGGCAGTCGATAAGGAACGTCGAGGGAACGGTCATTGGGTAGGTATGTGAAAAAGGCAGCAGTAGAAGACAAGGAAAGGAGGCGTTTGGTGTGAGGTTTCAAATGCTCTATGCATAAGAAAAGTTCATTTGACTATATGACACCGTCCTTTTTATCGCGATACGTGAGCAGCGCATGAGACGCTCACTGTTCAGACTTGTAGCGTTAGAGAATGGGCCGACAGGCTGAGAAGGGCTATTTCCGCGAAAAGATATTCTGGGATTTGAATTGAAAGGCATTTAGTTTTGAAAGCATCCGTACTTCCTAACACGATACTGACTCATTTAAAATTTCACCTTTTCCCCATTGCGATAACATAAGAAACCGAGACTGCGGTGTCCCCGTACGCAGGATTCTGGAAACTGTCGGGCATATTCTAGTGGCTAAAAGCTTTTGTTCCTAATTAAATACAGAAAAATCATTTCTTTTAATACTTTGTAACACCAACTAACTAGAAACAATCTGTACGGGCTTCCAAAAAATGTTATATTTAACTTGTAAGATCCATTACAATATTTTAGCTGCCCTAACATGCAAATGTAACGCATGCGTCATTATTGAAAAAGTGCTAAAGCATAGTATTCTATGGCTGACAAATATTCTGCGTCTGTCAGCCATTACCGGCCAATCAGAGGCCTTGTTTGTCATTTCTGGGTGGGATCAATAAACATGCGTGCGGTCGATTGGGCTGAAATATTCGCAGCGTGTTGATGACGTCACGCGCACGTGCAGTGGCGTGTTTCGGGTCTCGGGGGGTGGATGGTTCGCACGTGGCAAGCGCTGGAAAAGTGCGTATTTCCTAACAAATTTGCTCGGTCTTCAAGGCATCGGCAGCCGGGTTCAATGGACTTTGACCATAAAATGCATGACGATCGGCGGCGGGTGCCTCTCATTTGCAGATTGGCAGCTTATTTATTTTGATAAACAGAGGCGAATGAAGGTGTTGAATTTCGGTAAAAAAGACAGTTTTCAATGCGCTTACACAAATGCACCGCGTTTGACGCAATGCGCCATGTTTGTCACAAGGCGCCATTTTTGTCGCTAACCGCAAAACTTTGTCAAATATGGTCCGATAGAGGTGCAATTCGGTGGAAGGATGCATGACAAAATGACAGGTACAAATGCACCGCGTTTGCCGCAATGCGCCACATTTGTCACAAGGCGCCATTTTCGACCGAATACGATTAAGAACAATGGAATGCAACGAGAAGGAGCAGGGCTAGGAACACTTTTTTAGTTCATCAGTTTATATGATAATCTGTAACCTCACATGACCCAGTGGTAGTGATGGTAGTGTAGTGGTAGTAGTATTGGTAGGAGTAGCGGTAGGGGTAGTGGTAGTAGTAGGGGTAGTGGTAGGGGTAGTGGTAGGGGTAGTAGTAGGGTAGTGGTAGGGGCAGTGGTAGGGGTTGTAGCAGTGGCAGGGGTAGTAGTAGGGGTAGTGGTAGTGGTAGTGGTAGTTGTAGGGATAGGGATAGGGGTAGGGGTAGTAGTAGGGGTAGTGATAGGGGTAGTAGTAGGGGCAGTGGTAGTGGTAGTGGTAGTGGTAGGGGTAGTGGTAGGGGTAGTGGTAGGAGTAGGGGTAGGGGTAGTGGTAGGGGTAGTGGTAGGAGTAGTTGTATGGGTAGAAGTAGTAGAAGTGTGGTACAGGCCGATCCAATGTGACGTGGTGACCTATACGACCTGGCCTGACCGAAGGTGACCTGGCCTGACCCAGTGTGACCGGGGATGGCCAACTTGACCTGACTTGACCCCGCATGACCCAAATTTCATCCAAATAAGCCCACAGATTAGGTATCTTCAAAATTTTCCTCTTCGCGTTTCCGTCCATGTCTCTGCTTCCAGACGACAGATCAATTTAAATCAAACACCATTCGAAAGCAAATTGGCTGGTGCCGCATTTTCTGGCTACGCCGCGAAGCAAGTGGCGCAGCCGCTTGTTTAATATCTATTTCGGTTACAAAACACGAAAATCAACGGTGGTTTCAGCTACGCAAAAATGGCGTGTATGTTAAATAACTGTTCATTACCAAAGAGATGTCATTAGAGCACTGCATACCCTGTAACAATTGCTGACTTTCACCTAGCAGCTTACACGACACATTTTTACAAGACAAAACTTATATGCCGGACCCTGTAAAAGGGATAATAGGACCAGATACTGCGCACTGCTCGGGTCCGGGCGCTGACCGTAAAATAGTCATGCAGATCTACACCGGGTGCGGGCAAACACGCCCACCAAGGGTCTCTTGGGTGAATTTTCCGGTTTCCGGCACGCCGAAAAGTCGTTGTCGTGCAGGTTTCGTCTTTTCTGGGTTCCACAGCTGTGCTTTCGATGTCCTCCACGACGTCCTTTGCTCGAATGATCAATGCACACACTACACACCCGCTATCACCCGCGCTGAGCACAACCGTCCTTCTCCACTGCACGCTCAAACTCAACTGGCGCGCTCAAACCCTTTGAAAATTGGCGCGCTTTCGGCCCAGCTGTCTGATCACTTGTCATGTACGTCACTGCCGGCACTGGATTGCAGTATGCTGATTGGGTGGCGGTTGCGAATCACCTGGCTCAAACGCACTTGCGCCGCGACTGGTTATAGCTGCCCATACCGCGCGTCAAAACAAACTAATGCTGCCTGTTATGTCGTCGCACCGCCCACACGCACTCAGCGAAGACGGCACCGCGTTTGGTGCTGTATTAGTGGTCAGCAACACGTCCAGGGAGCGACTGCCCGTCCTCCCCGCCCGCCCGGCCGGCCAGTCCCGGCCCGCTGACCGGTCACCGCCGGAGGCGCCGAGCGGCACAGGTACGGTATCTGACAGTAGCGGCAGAGACTGTACACTAGGGTATATTAGAAGAATTCAAGGGAGGTCTTTAAAGAATAGGGGTATAGTTTGGGTATGTTCGAAAAAAAATGATCAGGGTGTTGTTTTAGACCAAAACCCCTGATATGCTTAAAAGGAATCGTTTGAGGAATCATTTGAGTTTCTTAAGGGCATTCCGCCAGGAAAACGGCAGAGTTATAGGAGCATGACACACCATGATCAAAGGGAATAGAGAATCGTTTTGGTTGTCAGTGCTGTTTTTCGTGAAATTCCCCCCTCTTGAAATTGGATCAGTTCCCCATGTTGTAAAATTTGTTCTTGCCTAAAGCACCGTATGAATTTCCAGATATTTGAG